GTTGCCTTTAATAGAGACCAAGCACAGTTCCTAATGGTGCTCCCTCTAATTCTCACCTGCTCCTGCGCTTCCTGCAGCATCACTATCTCACCAGAGCGGTGCTAATTGGGAAAGCCGCTAAATAGTGTCAACTGGAAACGCATCGGGGTTGGGATAACTATATTGGTGGGGAACACATGGCGGGTTAATACTAGAGTTAACAAGAGTCTTATCTGGGGGCGTTCAAAGGAGCTACCGCGGTGGCTGTCTTGTACCCGAGTCCAAAGGGGTGGTCGGGGAGTGATTTTTTTTTAAGAAGTGCTGAGCATCCACAACTCAGACCGGCTTTAAAGAGATCTCTGAAGTGTCAGGCTCCTAGTGACCTTTCTACGTGGAGGTTCTTTCCGGTATCGTATCTTCTCTTATCCCCCGGAGCCGAGCTAGACTGCTTTGGATAACCACATAGTAATACTGTCTCTACCTCCTTTAAAGTGACGGCTGGGAACTGGCTGTTTGCGGCAATGAAGGCCGATCCCGCCCTCCTCCCTCCCTCCACTCTGTGGGAGTGTAGCTTGCAAGATAGCTGAGAGATCGGGCCATTCCTGAGTGCGGTGCCCCTGGGACAGAAGGGTGATCTGCTGCCTTCCCTCCAAAGAAGAGAGCCAGTACCTTAGCTGCCCTGCACAATACACTGCCAGGAAAGGGAACGAGAACAAGGACCTTAGTGGCCAAAGCTTACTTTGAGTGTCTGGCGTTTGTAACACCCTGCTAAACTCGCATTTAGAGCAATGATCAAACCCTGTGAAGTGTATAGTCAAATATATTGCATGGGCTAATCTTGAGGGCCAGCAGCATCGGTGCAGATGGCGGCCAAGAGAGCTCGGAAAATAGAAATTCACCAGGGTTCACGCCAGCTACCCTCTGATAAACTGGTGTGTGTGGTGGGGGGGGGGCGGTCTTGCCTGCTAAGGGCATCTAACACCTTGATAACCACCTGGAAATGCTGTAGTGGGAAAACCCAGGGGCTGCTTATTCTTTCTACTAATGCACTGAGCGATATTTGTTCTAGAAACCAATCCCATATTTTCTACACTGGATGCCAGGAAACGAACCGCTGGGTTAAATCCTGGCCCCACGGAAGTCAATGGGGCCAGGATTTCACCCATTGGATCCTGTATTCCGTATACAGCAGTCTGCAGCTTCATGGACTACATAACGTGAGACGAATGAAAGTAACTTTGGGCTATGTGATTGAGCCCCTACTCTGGAGACACACTCATCTGCCTCTGTTCCGGTGCTTTAGACCGCGTTGTGCACAGGGGCAAAGAGAACCTTCGGTTCCATCACTCCACAGTGGATGGAGATGTCAGTCACACCAAATGGCTTTATAGCTGATGTCTTCTTCCGATCCCTTTTCTGCTGGCGCGACTAGCCCCTTAAGGATCCTTTCTGCTGCTGCTCTGAGAAGTTTGGGGCTTAAATAGCTCACCGAGTGACTCGTTTTAACTCTGAAGACGGTGGTGGGGTGAAAAATCGAAAAACTAAACTTATTTTAAAACAAAACAAAACTAGCTTTTTGGGCCGGAGGGGGAGGTGTTCGATTTGATTTCCCCCTTTTCAAACAATTAAGAGAGAATACACCTGCAGCATTTAAAAATAAATGCCTAAGGGCGTGGGTTATTTAAGGAAAATCCTTCCTAAACTGTGCCCTGAGAAGAGAACAGAGAAAACTCTTTTCTCCGATACAGCAGAGAGGGATGGGAGAAGGTGCCCGCATTCTAACCCAGGTGGGTGAGTGTGTCTGGGTACAACCCGCGTGGGTGTGGCTAAAACTCACTATTGATTCCTCGCCGTATCTAATGAGCACCTTTGGTCTTGCGCACAGGAAATCCCAACGGATGCGCGTATCACCTTCTTTAAGCAGAGCGCCACATTAACATACGAAAAAGCCTCTGGTTGCACTTGTATAGGAAGCAATCCAATTCTCTCTCTCTCTCTGTGTCGGGGGGGGTGGGTGGTATATCTCGGAGCATCTTCCGAACTGCTTCCCTCCAGAGACTCTTAGGGGGAGTTAGGGAATACTATGTAAGGAGAGATTGGCTTCACCAGGCCAGCTTGTGTTTGAAACTGTATCTGCTGTTCCGAGTAATCCTGGTCAAGAGTAATAATTAGCACAGGAAAGAGCGTTCGCCAATAGCAATTGCTAATATTCTCTGTCTGCCTGATATGTTCCCGGAGCCCCGGTTAGACCCTAATGGTCTTCTCTTGCTATGCCAGTTTTTCGCTACCAAATAAAACGCTCTGCCAGCCGCTGAACGCAGTGGGAATTTAGCCACGGTCTGCAATGGGGAGCAGGATCTGGCCCCTCGCTTTATAACTGTATGGGTAGAAACTAGCTTAACAGAACACAGCCAGTTTATTTTTTGGGGGGGTGGGGAGAGGGATAGCTCAGTGGTTTGAGCATTGGCCTGCTAAACCCAGGGTTGTGAGCTCAATCCTTGAGGGGGGCCCTTTAGGGATCTGGAGCAAAAATTGGGGATTGGTCCTGCTTTGAGCAGAAGGTTGGACTAGATGACCTCCTGAGGTCCCGTCCAACCCTGATATTCTATGATTCAGTTTCTAGCATGGGGTTTAAAAGCGATAGCTGCGCGCAGGGAAGGGCAGCCAGTCGTTCACATTTTCCAAAAAGAACAGGAGTACTTGTGGCACCTTAGAGACTAACCAATTTATTTGAGCATAAGCTTTCTTAAGCTACAGCTCACTTCATCGGATGCATTAGCTGTAGCTCACGAAAGCTTATGCTCAAATAAATTGGTTAGTCTCTAAGGTGCCGCAAGTACTCCTGTTCTTTTTGCGAATACAGACTAACACGGCTGCTACTCCGAAACCTCACATTTTCCAGTGAGTGCAATCCTTCACGTGGCGGTTGTGTTGCAAGGTTTTCCTTGAGAAGGCGATAACATTAACAGAGAAGTTTAAAATTCTCTCTCTCTCTCTCTCTTTGTCTCCAGTAACACCCATTAAATCTGTAAGGCTGCCTGGACTTATTGGAGTGGGAGAATTTTAGCCCATCAAAGGAGTTTACGTCTCTCGTCTCTGTTCCGCAGACTGGTTTTTAGTCGAGTCCCATTCCTCCTGTACTGAGAGAAAGAGGTTTATCTGGAAAAGCCAATTCGGAAAATTCCAGTCTTTTTTAGCTGTCCTGAGAGAGTGGATCGAGTTGCGTATGAAAATAGTCCGAAAAGACCTCCTGGCAAATCGTTAAGCACGTTTCTCGGGCTCTATGCTCTTCCTCAGAGAGACACCCAGCCCCATTCCCCCACACCGAAAGGGTTAATGTGGAGTTCCTCTGCCAACTTCGCAAAGCTAACTCGCTTTCTGCCAATGCTAGATCTCTGTGTAGCCTATAATTTATCATCTTAAACCTCGCTCCTTGGCTCCTGCTTCAGCTTCATTTAAACACGTACTTCAGTGTTTGTAGGTTCCGGGTCTAACTAAGGGTGGTTTAGGCTACTAGGTGCCCCAAATGTTTAACGTGTATTAAAGAGGGGATAATATTAATGGCTGTTATTGATCTATAGAAGTGCTGTGATCTGCCTATAGGAAGTAAGAAAAATTAGCCCTGCCCGTGGGAGTTCAAAAAGGGCTGATCCGTAGTGGAACTCAGGCGCTGTGCTCCGAACCGACTGAAATGCCCGGTGTGGATCGGAGCCTTCCCCTGGGTCCAAGACCTCGAAAGCTGCAGGATTCTCACGCTAGCTAAAACTGAGATCGCCACGCACACGCCGAAATCTGCTTTGGGCATTGCTTCAAAATATTCACATCTTGAATAAAAATGCCCCAAAGAACCGAATTCACTTCCATTCCCTGGCAAGTTTTGGGGGCACAAAAACGCCTGTTGGGATATCTTGGGGTCACCACCAGGAGCTTTTACGTAATTTTTTAAAATGGCTCCTGAAAAGAGACAGGACTTGCCGGCCAGATGCCGTGCACCTGTCCATTGAAGTTTTGCCTGAATAAAAAGCTCAGGATCGGGATCCACTGAAGTATTTGCACAAGTAGAAGCAAGAAACTGAGATGGGGTGTGCAAAAATACTATTGCTGAAGAATTCCTCTGCACTATTTAATAGAAACGCGTGTTATTGTGGGGGAAGTGCAGTAACATTTAGAAAGTTAAGCGAAGTAGTAATAAAGCTGAAAACCCCAAGGAAGAGTTAAATGGGAAAATGAGTGCCCAACCTGCTCCTCTGGAAGCAGATGGGATTGTTGCCATTTCTTCCAGCGGGAGTAGAATCGAGCCCAGCGTGTGGTGTCAGATGTTAAGTATATTAACAACCAAAGCAAAATTGCTTATTTGAAAAGTGTATTTGCCTCTTTTTTTTTGCTAAGAAGTGGAGTTAATTTTTTTAAAAGTGAAGAAATAAGGCGTCTTTTTCAGTGCAAACCATCTCCTCATAACTGCCCTTTAAATCAATTAAATCATTTGCTCTTTTAGAGCTGGAGGCTTAAAGCGCGCAAGAACTAAAATTTTGCTCCAATATATTGTTGTGTCTGAATATCTCAGTTTAAATAGGCAAATACATGGATACACAGTGAAGTAGAAATCATTTCGTTTTCAGTTTTTTGTCTAAAGTCTCCTTATTTTGAGCTGTTCAAACATGCAACACCAACCTGCGTTTAATATTTCCTTCTCATAAGCAATTCCTTATCTTTGCTGGATGCTGAGTTTTGTTTAAGAAAATCTTAAAAGTTTGGACTTCATAAACTAGGTTAATTGATCATTAATCTTGCCACTTAGAGAACTGATGGGAAACCAGTTTCAATTGCAGCCTTGTAAGACTGTTAGGAAAAAAGGCTGGAAGTATTATCTTTAAAATGTTCTAAATCTTTTTCGATCTGTTTTTTGGTCTATTTAACCATGGTGCCATATTAATATTTCTGAAAGTAAAGTGTCTTGTTCTTCTTCACCCCAGGCTTCAGCCACTAGACTTCCCAAAATATAAATGGATGGAAAAAAGCAATTTACTTAAAATGTTTTTTATTTAAAATCTCAACAGTGGATCACTCGTTTTGTTTTTGCAACCAAACAAGTAATAAATATTATTTAGCAACTTTCTTTACAAAAATAAACAGATGATAAAATCTCTGCAAGGGGCAGTAATAGGGAACATTGTTATTTCAGAAACAAGCCCAAGTTCTCAGTATTGCAGCACAGGCAGCGTGGAGTTCCTACATCGAAAGCACATTAAAGAGTTTTGTAACTTTGTTAATGGTGGCAGAAAAGAAAAACGTGTTATACACTAAAACAAAACAAAAAATCCTTTACCATTCGTAAGGTTTCCTGTACAAGTGCACAAACAGAAAGCTCAAGCATAACGGACTTACATAATCATTGGACAGTATATTTACAAATCCAAACCCTAGAAAACTTTGCAGGCTACATTTACATCAAAAGCCTTCATTCTTGCAAATTATGCTGGTAGGAAGGCACCAGCCCGGTGCTCGGAATAACCACTTTGCATGTCTTAGGATATGAACCAGAAAATGTTGAAAGGGACTATGTAAAAACAATAGAGAAAAGCAAACAAAAAATCCTATGCCATTTTGGTTACGTCATTCGAGGAGGAGAGGCTATAGCTATTTTCAGCTCCTATCAAAGTTTAAAAAGATGCACATATATTTATTTAAAAAATGCTCTGTGGGTTTACACACTTGCTATTGAGATTGGACAAAACATCAAGTACTGTACGTAACGCTGGCCTCCATTCCCTGCTGGAACTGCTGGAGAAGAGAGGATCAGTTCTGCGTGGAGACGTTTGCAGGAAGAGGAATTGGGTTTTGTTCATCTTTCTCACTGGTGGGCTTCAGGGATTGAGTGTCCTTAGTCTATCTCAGTATGGAACATGCCTGAAGGTGCCCCGGGTGGCCTTGGGACCAACCTGTAGTGAGGGGTCGGGGGGGGGAAGGGTGTGTTTAAAAAACTTGGCTGAGACCGGTATGTCCTTGTAAGTCCTTGTATGTGCCTGTGCTTTTAAGGGAGCCCCCCCCCCATAGAGTCTGTGTCCCAAAAAATGTGCCCGCGTGTCCTCGGGGCTCGAAGCTGGAGTCTCTCTCCCCATTCCCCACCTTGTTTCGGCAGATTCTCTCCCCCTCCCCTGCCCCACTGGCGGCGGGTCCCGCGGGGGTTCATTTGGTGTCGGTGGTTAATCTGGGCAGGCTGGCCGTGCTCATGCTGGAGACGTGGTGGTGAGGCGGAGCGGGCACCTGGCACATACTGCACGGGCAGGGCATTCCTCCCCAGTGCTGGAAGCTGCTGCCCAGCGGGGCCGAGGCGGCGGCGGCCGAAGGCGACTTGAGGAGCCCATGCGGGGGTCGGATGGAGCTGACCGCGGAGAGGCCGGAGCCGGGCAAGGAGGCGCTGGAGACGGCAGCGGGGGGCAGGATGGGGTGGTGCACGGGGTGGGCGGCGGGGTGCCCGGGGTGCCCCGGGAGCGGGGCGGAGTGGGCGGCCATGCCCCCCGGGCAGGCGGAAGGGTGGAAGCCGGCGTGATGGCCGCCGTAGATCTCGCTGACCAGGCGCTTCATCTCCTCCAGCGAGTTGGTGAGCATGAGGATGTAGTTGCGCGCCAGCAGCAGCGTGGCGATCTTGGAGAGCTTCCGCACCGAGGGCCCGTGCGCGTAGGGCATCACCTCCCGCAGCCCGTCCATGGCGATGTTCAGGTCGTGCATCCGCTTGCGCTCCCGGCTGTTGATCTTCAGTCGCAGCTGCTGCAGCTCGGGCTCCGTCATCTGCTTCTTGTCCTTCTTGGAGGAGGAGGACGACGAGGAGGACGAGGAGGAGGAAGAAGACTTGAAACCCAGCTTGTCCACCACCACCACCCCGGCCGCGCTCATGGCGCTGCGCAGCTCGGCGCTCAGCTCCGGAGGGGAGTCGCTCTGGGTGGAGCTGGACACTGTGCCCCCCGAGAAGCCCCCGCTGCTGCCTTTATTCCTCGCAGAGAGGAAGAGGTCATCGGGCTCCGGGGAGGAAGGTCTGCTGGATATCAGGCTAGCGTCGGAGTCCATGTCCCCGGCGAGGGGAGAGCGCCGCGCACCAGGCTGCCTGCGAGGAGGAGAAACGAGAGAGCGACCCCAAATCAACGGGACAAGGAACTGCGCGACAGCCTCAATTTCACCTAGCTAACGCTCCAGGCAGCTAGCCACCCCTGGCCAGTGCCCAGCCTCTTCCTCCCTGTCCCCGGCAGTGTCTGCGAGATCCTTCGTCTGCGACCTTCCCAGCGAGATCCGAGACCCTCCATTCCCCTCTCCCGCGATCACACGCCTCCAAGTTCAGCAGCAAGGAACTCCCCAGTCCGCTATTGTCTCCCGGGCTACTTTCCAACTCCCGCGCCAGAAGCAAACGCGTTATTCCACCCTGTCTCCCAGGATAGTTCCCAACCTGGCCTCGCCTCCTCCCCTGCCCGCCCTTTCCCCACCTCCCGCGCCAGGATGCTCACCAGAGAATTGTCACCGGGATACCTTCCAATTACTCCCCATCACCCGCCAGCAAAACCCTGGATCTCCACCCTGCTCCTCACCCCGCCAAACAGCACGATCTTTTAATATATGAATCTTGCACGACTGGTTTCCGAAGGGTCACAAATTACGCCCCAGCACGGGACAAACCGCTACAAAAGGAGGCGGAATCCTGGTTAAGTGACCGGAGTCGCTGATGGGGGCGGTTCGGGGAGGACCGGGGGAAAATGAATCATATTCCCGGGGAGACCTTCCTAACCAGATCAGTATTTGTTTAGACACTTAACACACACCGCTGTCTGCCCCCGCCTCTGTCACCTCCCTCCCTCCTCTAGCTTGGGCGAATGAAGAGGTTCATTTCAACCCGGATCAGCGCCCGCGAGGAGCCCAAAGCAGTGAGAATCGGAGACAGAACCGGCTGGGTGCACAGTTCCCTTTGGGGGGGCGGGGTCCTGTCCATCCCCATTTATTTATTTGGGGTTAGTGGGTCAGGGCTACTGGGGAGGCTGGCGGACGCCTCCCTTAGAAAGTTAGCTGCCGCAGCCCACAGGAGTCAGGGATTGAATTTGTTTGGGAACTTACTGTTTGCAGAGTGATCCCTTTGGCAGGACTGACCCGCTCCAGCGCCGCTGGTGGTTGTCACAGATCACAATAATAATAAGCACCTTTTGGCGACTCGATGGTGTTTTTATAGGCACATCGGCAAGCAGCGCCGGGTAAGAACAATGTTATTGTCCTGGAGGGGCCGCTGCACCAATAAGCAAAGTGCTGCTAGGGGGCTGGGAAACTGATGTCATTCCGGCTAATTCCGCTCAATGAAACTGACTAAGACACGCTCCTTTGCAGCGCCAGCCAATGGCGTTTGTTAGGAGGAGAGACCCAGAGAGACAGGAGGGAGAAAGAGAGAGACCTTTGTCAAATCTAGAATAAAATGTAACAATGCCAGCGTTAGGAACAGCTGTTGGGGGGGGGGGGGTATAGACCAAACAAACCTTAGTCCCAGCATAACAATAACATTTTGAAAGGAATGGCCCTAAACTCCTAAAGCACTCCACCGGGCTCTGCCGCTTGAGAGTATTAATAGGTTTCACAAACACATCGGTATTTCTCTCCTCCAAACCCCCCCCCCCCCAATGTAAACACTCACCAGGCACAATGCAACCCTTCCCACACTTACTTAACCACTTATCTCTGGTCGGGGCAATCTCCCACTGCACCCCGGACACACATATTTCAGGGCAATGAAAGACATATAGTTCAAGGGGGTGGGGGGTGTTCATAGCTGCCTAAAACCATTCCTAATGACCCCCGCTCTGCACTCCTCAGGGGAATGGCTGACTAGGGAAAGGTGATTTAGTCTTTTCTCCGCTTACTTCAGTAAAGAAAAAGAAAAGTGATTTTTTTTAGCCACCCCAGTTTTTGTCAAAGAGTTTACAAAAGAGCAGATGTGACTAAAACACTGCGATGGGACAGCGAAGTTAGCAGGAGTCACCACTGCCGCTAGCGCAACAGAGTCCGATATTTCTATTTTAAAATATTTCCTTCTTTAAAACCCCGCTCACAAGAGCGACCCTTTGCCACCATAAGGCTTTTGTGTTGCCCTAAAAATGCACCTGTCCTTATTTACAGGGTATTTTTGTTAGCTCTCTCTTAAAATAACATGCCCACAATATCATTTCAAGATAGCTCCTCCTCAAAACTGGACACTTATTTTAAGTAATGCCACAGCTTGGGAAGCGAGGGAGCTCTGCTTCCTAACTAGAAACTTTAATAATTTCTGTGCACCTGCCACATCTTTGGGGGGGCGGGGAGGGAATTAACCTTTGGAAATAATGTTGGATTTTGCATCCAATGCCCCTCTCAGCGCCTGTCAAGTAATGTCTGGTGTTTCTTCACAGCTACAGGCTGGCCCTTCCTTTCCATGAGTTTAATTCCTGGGTTTAGCTTTTCCTCTCGTTTGTATATATCCTTGTCCTCTCCTTCCCCACAGCCTTGCCGCCTTTGTTGTATTATTTTTATACCCGGGTGTTTCCCAGCTGGCTCGGCAAGCCTCAGTCATCCGTTAAATGTGTCTTTAAAACCTTTAAGAAGTGAAGCGTGGAAATGTGTTTCCTAACGGTTATGAGGATGATCCATAACAGTTCAATTAGCAAAATCTGTCACAGGGAGCCCCTGCCTCGCCGCTTGCGTCTGTCCGGCTCGCTGGGTCTTGCCCGCTGCATGCGTCCCCGGGAGTGTGCCCGTGCCCGGGTTTGAAGCAGAGTGAGTGGGCAGGCGTCTGGGAGTTTGATACTGGGGGTATGGGTGTGATGGCGTTACCTGGCGTGGCGGGCACGGGCTTCAGGCAGAGAGAGCGTGGGGGGGGGGGGGAAGGTGCGTGTCTGAACTGGCCAGGGGCGCTGTGTGCGTAGGTTTAGGGGCATGATTGTTGGGTGTGGACACCAGCCAGTGCGGCGCGCGAACGTGTCTGTGTGCGTGTGTCTCTGCCAGTGAGGACATGGGGGAAGGAGAGGAGGCACTGGGATGTCCGTCTGCCTGGCCAGGCGGGGCAGGAGGAGAGAGCGGGGATCGTGCTGAGGGGAAGGCTGGACAAATATGCAAACGTTGCATTTCAAGATAAGAAAGTAATTAATTAATCAGCAACAACAACCCTTCCTTGCCCTTTGACGGACCACTCTATTGCGCGTATTGTGAGAGTCCCATCAAACAGGGCAAAATCTAGTCAAATCAATTCAGCCAAGTATCATTTCACCGTCAGGCAGACCGTGACCAGCGGGTAGCCAGAGACACAGTGAGCGACACTGGGGAAGGGCGCTGCAGATCAGAGGTTTTCGAAGTATTTCTCAGTCTAGATTCCCAGAACGGCTGGATCCGATCCCCAGTGAAACAGAAGGAGATTGAAGTCTGTGTCTTATAGAGAATAAGTGAAAGAATCGTTCTCTTCCTTGTCCCTTTCAGTCTCTGAAAGCTGCTTGATTGAGTATATTCATTAATGAATTTATCGATATAACGGGACACGTCCAAGGCGGGTTTTAGGTTGCCGGCTCTAGTAGATAAGCCTGGGTAACCCAAACTAATTAAATTTTCTACTAATCCCTGTTTAATATCAACACCTGCCACCTAGTGGCTCCCGGATAAAAGCTCCAGAACTTCTCCCAAACTTTGCCCCGATGAGCTGGTGAAATACGTAAGTTAGGGTTCGAAAAAAAGTCCTGTTTCCTTCTTTCCTCCCTTTACCCTCTCCTGTCTTCTCCCTTTCAGTCCTTCTCTTTTAACTCTCCTCCTCTCCGTCTCTAAAGCATTTACTTTACCCCTCATTTTGAAATGATGTGCAACAAGTTTCCGTTCTCCAGAAGCAGCCCACACTTTTCAGCGATGTTTCTCTGTACAAAGCAACGTGAGTTTACGCTGCAGCTTCGGGGGCTTTGCTCTGTTTGCTGTTCGCGCCGGAGAAGCGGGTCGAACTGGCGGCTATGAACCGGAGACAAGCGATTGGCTTGTCCGTTTGATTGAGGCAGGATAAAAGTCGCTCCGAGTGCGTTGGGATGGATGTGTGTGACTCCGAACGCTTGCGCCGTTCCCTGGGCTGTGAATGCGCTTGTGGGTCTCGAAGTGTGTGCGAGGGAGGGTGTGTGTGTGTGTGTTTGGAAAAGGTGGGAAGGAGAGATTCACATTTTACAAGGAAATGACAATCCGCCCCGGGACAGGCCGTGGACGCCAAGCACTAGTGATGGGGCAGTGAATGGCACACGAACACATACCTTCGATTATCAATTTTTGTGTCAATGTTAATAATCCAGGAGCCTTTTCAGATTTTTTTGGTAACCCACAAACACAAGATTATTGAGCCCAATGTGTTTTTTTGGCTTGTGCTACTGAGCCAGCATCCTGGAGGTTATTACAATGGAGCAGGAGAGATGGCACAAATCCAGTGGATGCAGAACATTACTCCAATATTTCATTTCAGGCGGTGAAGCTCCAGAGGAATGATGTATGTCTTTAAAATACATTTAGAACCTTAGGTAACATGTTTCCCAAGGCTGATTTTTGAAGCTGGACAAAAAAAGTTCCGGTATATATTTGGTTTGAGCTTTCATATCCCAACACTTCAGCACCTGGGCTTTTCTCGGACTCCTTTTCTTCTTTCTGTATTATGTCGTGCTTTTCAAATTGGCTGTACAGTTTCGATCCTGTACTTCACACTCAGCCAAAAGTCCCATTGAGAATTTCCTCTCAGTAAAGATCTGGTCCACACACAACATATCAGGTGTACATCATAAACAAAATGATCAGTTAACCCCCCCAATTCCTATCACTATTATTAATTATTATTATTATTTGCAATGGACCAGGACCCCCTTGTGCTAGGCGCTGTACAGATATCTTTGTATTCTGAATTGTGCCGCTATGTAGATCTCTGTCTAGGTGATCTAAAATTCCTTTGATGAAAGTATGATACCACACTACTGTGTCTGACAGACAGGGCTGGGTTGCATTATTTGTAATTAACATACTGAAGAAGGGGTTGATGGGGTGACCTGGATGGTTTCTTTTGTAAAATGGAGAGCCACGTCAGCTTTGGAAGTGACTGTTTACGGTGTTGCCATGTTTAAGGGAGAGTTCAGCCCACCCTGGACCTTAAATGTTCTGTGAAAATGTCTTAATGATTCGGCGGGGCTTGCAGGGATTCGGATTTTACAGGTGATCTAAGCGTTGGCTTTGTCTTTCTATTAGTTAAACTCCCAATCGGAAGAGAACCCCTTTAACGTGGCTAGAAGGCTTGAAAGTTGGGAATCAAACTCCCCGTTCCTGCAGGCAAGGTCCAAAGCCTTGTCCCTGCAGTCTAGCTCCAGATTTGTTCCCATCCCACACAATCAGCTGTCATTTTACTATTTCTGTTGCAAACAATCGTCAAGGCAAAACCCATCAAAACCCGAAGTTGCTGCATCCAGATCACAAGCAGAAGAGCTGTGCTAAATAATGAATCCCACACTTAATGTGACTTTGGCGAGGTCCCTCAATTCGCAGCCGTTTGCCACGTGGGCTTCTTAGCAGGTTGAGACCAGTGTAGACAAAGGAGGCCGGCCCAGAGGCGCTGAGCTCCCACCATCCCCGGCTTCTTTTGAGAGTTACCTTGTAACAAATAGAAAAGGAGGACTTGTGGCACCTTAGAGACTAACCAATTTATTTGAGCATAAGCTTTCGTGAGCTACAGCCCACTTCATCGGATGCATTAGCTGTAGCTCACGAAAGCTTCTGCTCAAATAAATTGGTTAGTCTCTAAGGTGCCACAAGTCCTCCTGTTCTTTTTGCCAATACAGACTAACACGGCTGCTACTCTGAAACTTGTAACAAATATTGCTCTGGGGACCTGACCGTGCTGGGCTGAGATTACCGGCTGCTGGGGCCAAGCGGGACGTTGGGAGAAGCCGGCTGAATGAGTTCAGGGCTGCTGCTGAGAGCAGAACTCGCACGGCGTGAGGCCCAAGCTCTGAGCTTCAGGCAGAGACGCCGGCTGATCGCGAGAAGGAAGTTTTAGTGCTGACACGCAGAGCTGATGCC